CTGCGGATCCTCGGGTTAATGTAAGAGTTAACCCGGTGCTTGCCTTTCCCAGCGAGGTGTCTTCCTGTCCCGGAGCGGCGTGGCTCTCCAGCTCTGGACCCTTTCCGTCCCCCTGTTGGGTGCTTACCCACACGGTGTGCGATCATCCCGCCACCCTCTCCGTGCTCTCCACCGCTGCCTTGCCCCGGTGTCCAAACCGGGGCATTTGGGTTCAAACCCATCGGCAGCTGTCTCCAAGTTGGCTTATCACGACCTACCTCGATCTCGTGACCGCGGTAACTCCCGACCGCCAAACTCAGGATCCTCTCCTACACGGTGCTAGGGACCGTATATCCGTCGTTGTTGGGTGGTTTTTTCGAGGGTTAACTGCACTTGCGGGCCTCGGCCTCCCCCGGGGAGGGGAGTGGTACACGATCAAATTTCAATATTTTTGTCCGCGTGCGATTCTTCGAGTAACACCGAGCTCCGTTGATGCCGTGGCGTGCTGATATCTGAGTGCCTCACCCCGAGGGGTGTTTGCTACGTCGAAACAACTAGCACAGAGTGCCCAGAGCAAGCAGATCCCTGTTCTCGAGTGCACTAGTACAATGTACCGCCTGATATTCCATCAACGGTCCCCTCTTTTGCTGCCCTCCGGCATCGCCCTGGCAATCATGTACTTACATACACCCCCACACGCAGGGCAACAATATCAACAACAACACCTCGCCCGCCGAGGGGGCGCAGCGCGTAAGGACCAACACCCCGCCTAGCGGAGGTCCACAGCGCGTCAAGCTCAAGCAACCCCGGGGAGATGCAGGGGGCGGCGACAGCGGCAACAGCAGTAGGAATAGCAGCACCGGCAGCACCGGCAGCGTGGGAACTACGGCCCGGAAGGGCAAGCACTGGACCGTCTCCGACTTTGAGATAGGCTGTCCTCTGGGGAGGGGAAAGTTCGGCTCGGTGTACTTGGCAAGGGAGAAGAGGACGCGCTACATCGTGGCTATCAAGGTCTTGCAGAAGAAGCAGCTCCTCAAGGCCGGGGTGGAGCACCAGCTTCGCCGAGAGATCGAGATCCAGTCCCACCTGAGGTAAGCAGTAGATTGTTCGGGGCCAGGATACGGAGTGGGAGGGCCTCTGCTTCACCGTCTCTGTGTTGTTTTGAGTGCGTTGCTGCTTCATGCCAACTCGGGAAGTTCGGGGAGCAGCTGACGGTTGGTATTGGCCTCACGTCTTGACAAGGTGTCTGTTCATTCCGGTTCATGGTCTTGTGTGCTGCTGCTGCTCCCGATGTTATTACAATCGTGGAAAGGAAGCGCACCTAAACTGAGTTCCGCGATGGCGATGGCAAGCTCCCGTACTGCTCGTTCTTGTTTGTTTCTCCTGTGGGGGTTGCGGTGGTAGGCCGTGCGGAGACAGCAGTACACAGTCACGAGCTTAAGGTTTTGACGTTGCCGCGCGCGGCACGTGACCGATAGAGTCTCCCACTCGGCCTCAACAGCGGTCGGGGGGGCGGCGGCAGGTTTCAAAGAGTACGCTACCGGGGTCCTGCTTCCTGTCCTGAGTTAGATTTGTTTTGAAGGAGTCATACTCGCCGAGAGCTAGCTCTCCGAAGATGTGTGATTAGCGAAGCTCGATGATCTACCGGTGGCGTACTGTATCTATCCTCCTCTCGCCGTGACAAACTTATCCTCGGGGGGCGAACGAAGAAAGTCCCGCACCGCCCTTGGAATTTGCTGAGTCTTCGAAACAAGAAATCGTTTTGTCGACCCTTCGTCCGAATCGACCCCACCATCCTACCGGGAATGTAGATAGGATGGCGATCACTCCGTCTCCCTCCCTCTCTCTCTCTTTCTCTCTCTTTCTCTCTCTCCCTCTCTCCCTCTCTCTCTTTCTCTCTCTCTCTCTCTCTCTCTCTCTCTCTCTCTCT